AGACAGAGAGAGAGAGAGAGAGAGAGAGAGAGAGAGAGAGAGAGAGAGAGAGAGAGAGAGAGAGAGAGAGAGAGAGACAAAGACGGAAACAAGGGCGGCGCACAATACGGAACGGGTGCGGTGATCGAAAGCAAGGGCAACATGATGGATCTCTTCTTACGGAAACGCGTGGATATCTGCGGCATGTTTGCGTTTGATAATATACGCCACAGAGACTTGATGAGACGTGTCATGTCGGACCGCATCGGACCGTGCGAGCGACAGACAGCCCCAGCGCGCGACTGAGAAACACGGCGCGACTGAGCGATTCATGGGCAAGGCAGTCGGCAGTTGCCTTTCTTGCACTTCAGTGCGTTGGTCGGAATTTGATGCCTTTCCTGTGCCCATTTTCTCGCAAGACGAGGAAGAGTTTGAGTACGGATGAGGGGAAAACGACAGTCAGTGAAGAACTGCTGTTGTAGGGGTAGTAACAAATCAACCGGTATGGGTATGTGTACCTGCGGTCTACAGCAGTAGTCGGGAGGGAGACTAAAACTTTATCCGTGCGCGTGTTTGCTTCGCTGGCTGCCCTTTGATACTGGTTCTTATCGGGACGCGTCTGTCAATAGTTTAGCCGCTTCCATGGGCGTAGGGCTTGAGAGAGGGCTTGAGAGAGGGCTCCATGGCCCCATCATCATCTGTCCTCTTTCTTCACAGCCTGCAATTTGATCTAGAGATTTCTTCCATCGAACTATCCTCGTTCCTGATGGCGACGGCAAGTAGTAGTAGAGCCAGAAGTAGCAAGTTCAAAACCCGTGGCGGTAAAACCGAACGAGATACTGCAGTTCTGCCTGTGGTTGGTGCGATGTATCGTTTTTCCCGCGGGATAATTCTTCACATCGCAGAGTGGGCGTACCTGGGATGGACTACAACATCTCCTCAACAACAACAATCTGTGTGGGACTGTGCTCTGGGAAGATACTTTTACGTAGACCCTCACAAAGTTGCTTCCTCTCCGCCCACACCCTCCCCCGTATATAGGTGTCCCGGACGCGAGTTCCGGGGAGTTCGCGCACCAGCAGAACAAGTCTGGCGCCAAGTCGGACTGTGGACGTAACCCTCCACTGCACTATGCTGTGCGCGCCAACACCAATGCCGCCATACTGGCACTCGCCAACGACCTGCAGTACGAAGTGACGAAGTACATCCACAACACCAGGACGCACGAGGTTGTGTGGGTCAGCCCCGGTCCTGGGTGCGTACGGATGTTGCAATGGCTCGGCCCTAGCCTTGGCCACGATCGCGTGCCTACAGACATCAAAGCAAAATGCAGCCAGTCGCCAGGCGAGCTAAAGGGACAGTTCCCGGGCTCGGCAGTATGGGCGGCGATTGTGTTCGAAGACGGGGACGTGTGCAACGTCGCTGGGACCTGGACGGATCGTGTCGCGTCAGGGCATCTCCGACCCGACGAAGAAACTTTGTCTAGGGCTTACGAGACGTACTACGGATGTGGAAGGGGGGAGCCGTGCGAGAACCTACGATGTCCCTCGTGCTGGGACGATGGTCATGCCTCAGCGCTCGAAGTCAACCAGATCGCGTGTTCTACATATATATGCGTCCACCTCGTGGCGAGTTGCGGACAGGGTCGCTTGAAGGGCGGCGATGCCAAAACCGCGGACAGACCCAGGCCATGCGATGACTGGGCCTTGGGGGGCGGAGGTGGTGATAATGTTGAGGTATACAACGGACCACGGCCACCACCTGACGTTGGCACTGTTGCACCGGACCAATTGGCATTGGTCAAGATTCTCTACATCTTCCTGCACGAGGGGATCCTCGTTCCTTGAACGGGGAGCCGCCTCCGCTTACCTGGTGGGTGCTCGGGTACGAGTATGTGGGGGTTGGTGAAGGAAACGAACGTGTGCCCGATTCCCTCACGGGGCACCCAACCTTGCTCCTGCGTGGTCGGGGGCGTCCGTTGGTCTTCCCCGTGGACGCCATCCGGCGCCAAGTGCACATCTATCACCAATGCCCTAGGAGAGGAGATGGCGACCCGGAAGAGGCTTTTGTTTGCGAACAAACCCAAGAGGAGGGTCGCACCACGCGCGCTTGGCAGCACAGATTCAGGCTGGCACATCCGGGCTCTCACAACGGCTACGATACACAGGTGGAGGTCGAACCCCCTTGGGGACTTTTCGGCAAGGGGGGGGGGGGTCATCGGCAAGGTCGAGCCCCTGAAGACTCCGTTGGGTTGTCCAACCTCCGTCCCTTCACCAACCTTGGCAACCCCTGACCGAAGAACGGTTTGGCAAACTCATTGCCTACGATGTGCTTGCCAAGCTCGTTCGCGTACGTGAGATTGGCAAGGCTACACCCGTGGCCATTGTGCCCTTGCACAGGGTCCCGTCCAGAACACCCTGTGGCCCGTAGTAAGCATGTGGCCAGTTTAATAAGGTCCATGCACTGGTACCCTGCACATGATCATAGGTCCCTACCCTGTACATGATTATGGGTAGAAACCTGGCCAAGGTTCTTACCCTCGACCTTGCACATATGGTTGTGATCACTCGACCCTGTGCGGCCATAACAATGTGGCCACCTTATTGAGGTCGATGCAGTCAAACCCTGTTCATGTGATCACGGGGCCTACCCTGCACATGATTATGGGTAGAAGAACCTTGTCAAGGTTCTTACCCTCGACCTTGCACATGTTCAACATTTCGTGGGGCTGTAAGAATGTGGCCACCTTAATAAGGTCGATGCAGTCAAACCCTGTCCATGTGATCACGGGGCCTACCCTGCACATGATTATGGGTAGAAGAACCTTGTCAAGGTTCTTACCCTCGACCTTGCACATGTTCAACATCTTGTGGGGCTGTAAGAATGTGGCCACCTTAATAAGGTCGATGCAGTCAAACCCTGTCCATGATCACGGGGCCTACCCTGCACATGATGAAGGGTGGAAGAACCTTGGCAAGGTTCTTACCCTCGACCTTGCAGATGTTGGGCATGACTCGACCCTGTGGCGCTGTAACAATGTGGCCACCTTATTAAGGTCGATGCAGTCGAACCCTGTCCATGATCACGGGTCCTACCCTGCACATGATTAGGGGTAGAACCCTGGGCAAGGTTCTTACCCTCGACCTTACACATGTTTGTCATCACTCGACCCTGTGTTCCCGTGACAATGTGGCCATTAATAAAATCGATGCAGTCGAACCCTTTACATTGGTCATTAATAAAACCCTGGACAGCGTCACGCTGAAGAAGACTTTGGCCGACCCTGAATCATCACAGTCCACCCGTCGCATACACCCCCCACGGTACGAAACATACATTTCATGCGGAGCTATACGTTGCAGCATGCGAATCAAACCAGCCATTCCTATGTACGACTACGTACGAACTTACCACACGCCATAGGGGCCAGTGGCTGACAATACAAATGCGTGTAGAAAGGTTCAACGGCACAGAAAATAGATTCTCCGCCCTTTTGTCGGGTGCACCCCCGCGGCTCATACCACGGAAAAAACACATGGACCTTGCGCGTTAGCCTCGCCATACCTTGAACCTTCACTATGCAAGGGTGATACACCAAGGCAGAGAGCGTTACCCAAAGCCCATCTCACGGGCAAATGTGACAAGGTCCGCTCCCCCTCTTCGCCCCAAAAGGTCGCCACACAACCATCTCGTATTGTATCAGCTGTGAGAGTCCCCCGACCTTTCCTTACGTTTAGAATTATTTGCAGCCCTGAAACTGCATGACCAAGTATACCAACGCCGAAAGCGCCCGCGTACCACACCCATCAAGCATGCAACTAGCCGGCAACCCCTCTCCCAACAAATTCAGCCGTACGTAGGCAGTGTCATCTGGACATCACAGCCCACCCGGCGCATACATGTCCCAGGGACCCGTGGGTGTTGTCCACGGGACCAACCATACATTATATGTAGAGCAATAGGTTGCAGTATGCTGATCGACCCAGCCATTCCTATGTACGTCTACGTACGAGCTCACCACGCACCACATAGGGTGTAGTGGCTGACAATACAAATGCATACACAAAATATATTCTCCACCCTTGTCTCGGGTGCACCCCCCGCGGCCCATAACACGGAGATAGAACATTACCACGTTAGGCTCGCGATTCCTTGATTCTTCACTAAGCGTAGAGCCAAGACGTTATGCGACTCCATGCGTATAGCGATACACCAAGGCAGAGAGCGTCGTCTCCCAAACACGCAAAAACAAGTGACAATCTCCGCCCCCCCCTCTTCATCCCAAAAAGACGTCACACGACTATCTCGAATCAGCTGTGAGAGTCCCCTCGACCTTTGCTTACGTAGATCATCCTCCGCCGCGTAGAAACGGCATGAGTAAATACCAACACCCAGGGCTCCCATAGGAACCACCCATCAAAAATGCAACCGACCGGCACCCCCACCCCCGCTCCCCCCCAAATTCAGCCGTGCACCGACCGGCCCCACCCCAGGCAGCCCCGCACACAAGCTATGCCGGCGTTTCATGCACAGCCATTTTTCGCCCTCACTCTCCTAAACCGACCTCCACACGGCATCTTAAAACGACATCAAGATGTTTGTGTAAGGGCTGAGGACGTCGACAGCGGGTCCCACGGAACACCTCCTTTCGCTGCGATTGTGATTCAGAAACCCTCACTTTCGTCTGCGCGGCAAGTTTTTGGAACGAGAGGCATGTACGTGTCAGCCGTTGTAAAACGAGCGAGCATGGCATCGCGTGGTGTGAATGATAGGCCCGACCGTTGTACACCGAGTAGACATGGGTGAACCTGCATAAAACTCCGAGCGGACAAAGGCATGACAGATACCAGATGTAGCGAGGTGCGCGAGGGGGGCGGTGGCCCAAGCACGTTTGTACAAACACCGGCGAGAGGCACGTACCGTCGACTCCAAAGTAGGGTTGGATGCACAGCACCACGTCGTCGTCCGTGAGTAGCTCGGCAGGGTCGTGATCTACCAGCACCTTTGCATGGCGGTTTTTGCTAGTGACGCTCTTGAACATGCTGGGCCACAGTCTGCGTAAAGACACGTGAACACAACGGGATAACACAAGAGAACGGTGACAGTGTTGAAGCGGTGTTGCACCGAAAAATGCGGCTCTTGGGAGGAAAGCGATACCGCACGACATACGGTTGCTGTGTCATCACGCGTGGCCATCACATATACTGAATACTTCAACATGTCCAGGGCAGCAGTTCATTGAAGAAGACAAAAGTCGCGGCTTGGGTTCCACGTTCCCTAGTTAGGGTATGCCTCAGATGGTTCGTTTCCTGGACATCATTTGACAGCTGATAGTTCAAGGGGCCGTGTGTATAATTCAACTACGGTGGTCTCTCAACTCAGCTGTGAAGAGCTTGCTGCCCCCGCCCCCAGATTGGAGTTTCGACCACTCATGGGTTCGACGAAGAACCTCTGTCCGCGCATCCTCCTTGTGGACATGGGAGACCGTTAAGCTCTTGATGTCCTGTAGGGCCGCCACCAGTAATCATTTGAAGCACTGTCCATCACACCGGGACAAGGCACGTACGACAATATCCCGTCACGCCGGATCGCGTGCCCGCACAATATGCTTCGGATGAGTTGTTCTGTGTTTGATCCTGAACAAAAGCGTCGTGTCCACATAAAAAAGCCGAACAACGAGCGACGCACCTTGTAGCCTAGACTACATCTCGCTCGAGGCTGAGAGACAAAAGGGTCGCGGTTGTAGTCACTACTATTATATCAATACATATTGCCTCGCATTTATATTGTACAGCACCTGCAATTGACGCTTGCTAGCTATCGTTCAACGCGGGAGGCGGCTCGCGTTGAACAAGCCCCAAAATATCCTAGGCATCGCCATCGCTGCTTCGTAAGTAGAGTTAGACGAAATCGTTTGATTGTTCGGCCAGGTCACTTGAACTTAGTACATGTCTCGCCAACCAGTGACGAGTTCTACCTACGGTATTTGATTTCAAAGCTGGTGTCGTTATCTTTCTACATCAGCCGTGGGAATATAGCCGAGTTGTCCCGTCGATGTCCTACGGAATTCACGCTATGCATACGTGGAACGACCATTCATTCCCGGAACCGATAGAGTTTGTCAGCAAAGGTTTTTACGGATCAAAGACCATTATTCAGGTTGTATGCATACGTATCCGGATGACCTCTTACCTTAGACTGGAGGTCTTCGGCCAGGTCCTTGGAGCCCATGACGTCATCAAGACCAGCAGGTTTAATCGGAGCGTATTTGCTGTGTACAGCGAGGATGGGGGCGTAGATCTCGTCGACCATAGTGTAGTAGATCTGTCGCGGGCGGGAGTGTCCACGGCAAGGATAAATGGTAGGGGCGTATTGAACATCGATCAGCAGACCAACGGCGTTGACATTGGACCTTGTTAAAATAAAGAGCAAACGGGCTGCAAAACAACCAGGGGCGCGATTCGAGTTTCAAACCAACTGCAGTGGTGTGCAAGCGGTGAGGAGGAGGGCTGCGGGTAACAGTAAACAATGGTTTCACCACCTCATCCGTCGTCTGCAGCACCTCGATGACCTGGGTCATGTTAGACACGAGGTCACGCGCATCTTCCACGTCACATAGTCTCACGCCCAGGGCCCGAGCGGAGGAGGTAAACGAGTAAGCCACAAGTGCATTCACAGCTTTCACGACCGCCGTACGGATCTGTTTGTGCCAAGTGGACCGCACAGAAGTAAGGGCCTCCCTCATGCCTCCCTTCTCGTCTGCACAGATACGGATGTTTCGGACGGCCAAGAACACCCAACAGAAGCAAGGGATGTGGGGTGGGGAGGGGGGGCTGTATTAACAACGAATATTACTCATGGAGATGCAACACACGCAACATTCAGCAGGAAAAGGCTGCTTGCAAGCATGCACAACAACCACTTTTCCGACCTTGCTCATTCATCTTGTTGTATCTCGGCTGTGCGTGGTGTGCATCGATCGGTCGAAGATATCACAACGCTGGTGTGTTTGAAGATTAACTGTCGTGCGCGTGTAGCGCACTTCACAAAACCCACCACCTCAGCGTGTGTTTTGGGTATTATATCGACAGCGCTAACTGGCTGACCGAACAAACCCACCATAGTCTTAAGTGCGGTTGAAAACGGAAAGCGCCTCTGAGAAAACGGACAGTAACTTCTTACAACGGGGGGGCTGTGTGTACTCGTAGCCTTGCATACCGCAAGCTCGCCGCCGTCATGT